TTTTTTTTTTTTTTTTTTGTCGCTGTTCAAGAAAATTATATCATTCATTTATGAAATTCTTATTACATTCACATTTACAAAAGTCTTTCTTATAATTACGAACTACAAACTATCTTTAGGGATTAATTTATGTATAATGTTACTTGTAATGCATTCTGTACCAATCCAACTACATTCTGATCCATTTAAAGATTTCTTTTAAATTATGAATGGGTTTCATATGATTGATAACTTCGACTGAGAGCAAATATTTATAAGTTATAACTAATGCTGTTAAATTAAACGATCTTGGCTTGCATCAACTCGTTAAACCCGAGTTCGGCTCGGGTCGTCTATCAAATGAGTCAAGCTCGAACTCATGTAAAACTCGTCTAATTAACTAGCCAAGTTGTTAAAACTCGAAAATAATTCTTTTTATAAAATTTCTTATAATTCAACTAGTAAAAACTCAAAATAGACTCGTACTCCACTCATTATTAGTTATAAACGAGCCGAGCTCAAGCTCTATTTCAAATTCGTTTATTTATTCAACTCGTTAAAGCTCAATATGAACTCATTAAGGCTCGCACTCCACTCGTTATTAGTTATAAACAAGCTGAACTCACACTCTATCTCAAACTCTTTCATGTAACGAGCAAAGGGCTCGAATTCAAACACCATAAGCTCAAGCTCGGCTCGAATCGTTTATAGACCTAGTTAAAACTCACTCAACTACATTTCCAAAGCAAAAGAATGAAAATTCATGTAAGTAACCACAAAAACACCAAGCCCATAGTTTTCAAACCGTCCGATCACACGCATTTACATTGATCCACCGGTTAAAACCCCCCACAAAATCACTGGTGAGATTCCTAAGAAGATAATAAGAACTACAGTCCAAGTCCAGCTTCCATTGCAAACTTAGTCTTCTTAGTTCCAAAGTAAATACTTGACATCGCGCATAATCATCCATTTGCCACACAAGTGCATTCGTTCCAAATCAATTTACACAAAACCCTTCGACTTCCAAACATCTTCACAAAGCACACGAATTAATAACATAAAACGAACAAAACCAAATCCAAATCCAAACCTCTATTCTTTGTCCGACTCACTTTCGCTACTGCTGTCAACTGTCTCGGCTTCATTTCCCTCAGCTTCTTCCACCTGTTTATACGCCCTGGAAATTTCCTCAACCGGGACCAAAGGTACATAACCCAAAAGAGTGTACCCTTTTGCACTCAGGTCCTTGACCACCTGATTGTACTTTTCTGACCAGTGAGTGGCTGTGGGAATAATAATCTCAAACACACCGTGTAAAGTTGGGTGCTTGTTAGCCTTATACCACACTGCCACAAGATGGCTAACTGCCGCCTTCTTGGAGATTTTTCCTGCATGGGAAATGGCAGCGAGTGGGCCGGAGACTTTGGCTTCCTCCGCCAGCTCGTGAACTAGTTCAGTTGCTTTCTTGATGACTGATTGGGTTTTTGAGACAAGAGTCTTGGCGGCAGGTGGGGCAGACTCGTCGAATTTGTGAGTTGCCTCGTCAAACTATAAATAAATCGAATCAGGAGTGATCATAAAAGTAGCACAACTAAAAGTTGGAATATACAAATTCAAGATTGGAAAGTAAAGCTTAAGACAGTTTCTACTTACTGTCTATTGCATACAAAAGGATTGTAAGTGTAAATGGATTGCAAGTATTGCATATAAAAGGATTGCAAGTGTAAATGGATTATTAAATATCAGTTCATCATAAATCGCATGAACATAACAGATTCACAGTAGCCCTCTGAAAACTAGTAAAGCAATCGAATATTCAATAATCCTGCGAAAGATTCAATCTTTCTTAGCATAGATCCCTACCTCCTCATACAAGAACAAACAATTACAACATTTTGCTGCACAAAACTACAAAAAAAACTCTTATCAACCCTAAAAAATTCACATCATCCGCCATTAAAAAATCAGAAGGAAAAAAAAAACAAGCGCAATCAAACACCATGAACAAATGAGGAAGCAAACAGTTACCTTTTTGTCGAGGAAAACAAGAACATCGCCCGGAAAGCCTTTGAATCTGCCGTAGATTGGGCTCACGACGGCCGTGACGGCGTTTTCAGCCTTCTCGAAGGTGGGTTTGTACGCACCGGAATTCTGCTTGGCGGAGTCGTACAGATTCGAGACGATTACGGCGGCGTTGATCGCCAGAACCCTCACGAACCCTAGATGTTTT